AGTCTGGCGCCTTGCTGCTGCCTCTCTACAACCCCAGTGAGAGACTTGTCTTGCCCCGCGCTTAGGAACACTGAGGCAAAGAACTCGTTGAGGAGTTCAGCCTTGTCCCCCCTGTCCGTCACCAATTGCTTCTGCCCATTTAGCAGGGGTCCTATTCCTCCCTGGGCCTTCCTTTTACTCCCTATATATCTAAAAAACAATTTCTTGTTGTCCTTTACTTGGGATGCCATCCTCAGCTCCATGGTAGCTTTGGCCCATCTAACTGCCTCCATACAAGCGCGAGCAGAGGAGGTATACTCCTCTTTGGTGATCTCTCCCTGTTTCCACTTTTTATGTGCTTCCCTTTTGGCCTCTAGGCTGCCCAGGATTTCTCTGGTCAGCCAAGGAAGCCTCCTGGCCTCCTTCCCTCTTTTTCATCACATCGGGATTGTCTCCCTTTGTGCCCGAAGGATCATTTCCTTAAGGCACAGCCACCCTTCTTGGGCTCCCATCACTTCAAAATTCCTACTCTGCAGTGCGTCCTTGACTAATCGCCTGAGTTCATTGAAATCAGCTTTCCTAAAGTCTAGCACTTTCACCCTACTAGTTGCCTTACCCACTCGACGTCTTATGAAGAATTCTATTATTAGGTGATCACTGTCCCCCAGATGGCTACCGATCTGTAGGTCCCCTACCATGTCATCCCCCGTTGCCAATACCAGTTTTGACCATTTGCTCTACATGTGCACAGGAAGATTGTGTCAGCCTAAATTTCTGCATAGTAGCTGCCAGTCTGACAACCCCAGTCAGCAACCTGTTCAGTCAGATCCAGAATGTGCAATTGAGATTGCAAAAAAAGTGGGTGTAAATCAGATGTTCTGAGTTTTGTTAGCATGCACCTCCGCCTTTGCCATCTAGAGGCCAAGACGTTAAGCCCCAAAGTCTGAAAGACTGAATGCAGGCAGAGCTAAAACATGTGGAATATAGGCTGAGCCCATCCCTTCCTTGTACCTACAGGCTATATCATTGCAAGAAGAAATGGTGATGAGGCCATGACTCCTTGAAGATGCTGAGCTGGAGCAGAGCTGAGGTCATTGCTCAAAGTGTCTGACTTCCTAATGCCTAAACAAGTTCAGCTCAGCTGCTGTACAGAAGAAAGCTGAAGTGGCCCAGTAATCACTAACCATCAAAGCCTTCTACTCGAACCCTGTGGGAGTGCATCCCCTTCCCCATCTTCCCTGACAGGACTGTTCTGTTCACCCAGATCTGAAATTGCAGGGCATTTAGAATGGAGTTCAGTCCCAGTGATTGGGAAATGATGTTAACTAGAGCCACAGAGATTAATGGCAACCCACACATGGCACTTTCCCACCATGTTTTTCCTCAAGAAAATGTTTTTTCCAGAACTCCAGCATTATAGGGCTTTACAAAACCTTAAGGTTATATGAAACAATGCAGTAGCTACTTCAACATTTTAATGCAACTGGCCTTTAACATGACCACACTGTTCTGATTCTCTAGAACAATGCTACAGATCTATACTGCATGGGAACTTTTGCAGTGGGATATATATTTTTCCTCACATCTGTATTCATCTGTATTCTGTACTTTTGATGTACAGAATAGAAAGAAATACCTTTCTGCTCTCTGAGTTCTAGAAACTGTCAGTTCACAGCATGAGGGTTCATTTTGTAGGACTAACTGCATATTATAGGTAGCATAGAAAAAATTAAACATTGCTTTGGTGACAAGAGAAACATTCTTTGTGAGCAGCTTGGGCAGTAATCATATTTCTTGCAGACAGAGCCTAATCAGCCACTACAACTCAGTGTACATATAGTTTTCAGAACAACCTATAAAGGTGTTTCCTGTTTTTTACTAGCAGAGTAAGAGAAAAAACCCTATCACAATCAGATTATGTGCCCAACCCTTTTTGTGGTGAAGCATAAGAGGAATCCCTGGCACACTAGATAATAGTAACTCAATGCTTCAAAAAGCAATTGTTCACAAAAAAGACACACAAAAAGCAGACTGCTGAGGGAAGATGTAAATAGTCATAATCTTAAATGTATTACAGTAGCCTTGTTAATGCTTATCTCCCTTCATTAACTGTTTGTTCTCTTGAGGAAGCCGGTTATGGACTTGTTCAGTAATGCTGGACTTCCACACCACGTTTTCCACACCAGTGAGAATGACTAGCTTATGAGAAGGTAGTGCCTTACACATCAGGAAGGAAAGAGATTACTGCTATGGTAAATATCCTCCCCTTTCCTTTAAGGTCTGCTCCCTCAGCATTGGATAAAGCTGTGCAGCTACAGGAGTGTGTATATGTGACCCACAGCACAGGCTGTTTTAACCAAATCCTGATTAGAGTATACACTTCTGTATCAGCAGTAGAAGAGCCACCTCTCACCTTCCACTCATATCAATAGCTCCATGGTCCAACCATCTTTCAGAAAAAGCTATGCAAGAGTTAACAGTCACCTGCACTCTCTGAGGCTGTGAATCCTGCAGGTTCTTTCCTACTGGCAAAGAGAGACTATTGCATGCCCATGAGCAGTAAAAACCAGCTATCAGCTCCAGACAACAGGGGCAAACTTTACACCCGCTAGAAGCCAGACAAAAAAGCAGCTCATGCTACCCCTTGTTCTATCTTACCCACTAAATACAGTCATGTGACAGCTGCCACCTGTCTGCTCTCAACGTAGAATTTTAACACCAAGGAGTCCATTTCCTTCCTAAAAGACAGTTCAGTTTGTGTCTTACGCAGATAGGCAGGTCTTGCCCAGAAAGTACTCCCAGGGGAGTCATGTCATTACTAATGTCACATTTAGTATTTATGTTTCAGGATAGATGCCACAGCATGGGTACTGCTTGTAGCTATGCAGTTTCTGGCAATCGCCAAAATAAAGCCATTGGGTTTTTCAATTTAAGTTTGGGGGTTTCTGCTGTTTGCTAAAAACAAATGCTAAACAAAGTGCTTCTCCCTACTTCAGGCTGGGAAGGGCACCTTCCTCCTGCAACAGATAAGGGCCAAGTAAGATTCTTTTAAGGGTGCCATGAGTGCTGAACAATATTAGCACTGTTAGGAGCACAAACACCTACACTTAATTCACAAGATAAACCCAAAAATTTCAAATAGGAATCCATACTGTCAAAAGCATTCTGACCTGCTGTGAGCTTTCTGAGTTCTTTGCAACAAAAGAATTGATTTATTTTTGGTAGTAAAAAAAAATGAGTGAAAAGTAAGACAAAGTATTTTCTGAGGAACGTTATTAGTCAAGGAAGGTTGAGAACCACTGATTGGCCTAGGCTGTTTTCACTGCTGGGTCCCCTTCGGCAGAGTCCTGTGCTCCCATTCAGCCTCATCAGCTTTGATGGAGTGCTAGAGGGGCCCACACTTAAGAAGCCAGTGTCAGGTTTAATGCCTTAGATGGTAAGTTCCTTGGGGCAAGAAAGGGATAGGGCTGAGCACAGGGCCAACAAATCTGTTACTAACAACAAGACCAACAAAGGAAAACAAACAAAAATAATGAAGTGGAAGTTGCAAATAACTATAATACATAGGATTAGTAACAATGCAAGTTATTTGAACATTTTTCTGAATGAAAAAAAGAGTGAGTTTGCTGGATGCCTGTGAAAGGAAGCCATTTAGTATTTCCTTGCCAAACATCAGTTAGAGAGTGTTGCTTTAACTCTGTTAAAAGCAGAAACTATATGTATATTATGGAATTGTACAATGGAAACTATTATAAATATTGGGGCACCCCAAAGACTGATTTCTGTCAGGCAGCTCCTGTGGCTCTCTAGCCAATAAGCACCTATTTCCCCTACACGCTTAAAACAAAAACACCATCATCCACTTGTGGGGCTGGAGTTATTTTCACTCCTTCCTTTGAAACAATGTCACTTCCTACAGCTACAGAGAAGAAAGAGAAGGGAACAGAACAGAAGATTTAAGGATGTACACAGAGATTATTATCAAGGTATTCTCTTAAATATTTTAAATAGGTCCCTACTTTTCTGAACCTCATTTAAGATCCACACTAACTAAGCTAGCAGCCATGCAACGAACAATCAAAAAAATGTCAAGCCTCATGTTATGCATCCTTGCACTCCCGTGATAAAACAAAGATCATTTATCTCTTTGCTGTTGGCCACCATACAGAGAATGAATAGACACTTAGGAGGGTGCCTGAATTCAGGCATCGTTTATAATCTGAAGGGGGCACCATACAGAGAATCATGTACATTCCAATTTTATTTTCAGTAGCAGCATATTTCTCAAGAGAATAACAACTTCCATTTGAGAATTACACTGTCCATTTGTCCACCCCTCTGAGAAGAAACTAACGAGCACAATAGTTATTATACACACAAAATGTTTCATGGATAAAAGATATCTAGAAAATACTGCCTAGTTTTTGAGTTACTGGTTTTATTTGTGAATAAAAAATCCAGAATTGTTGCACGCTGTTTTTACACAAACATCAGTACAAAGGAACCATTCGCTTTCCCACACTACATGACATAGTGATAATGTATGTAGCTCACTGAAAAGAAAATATTAGCACATTTTGAGAACAGAACAGGACTGGTCAATTCTACGGCTTTGTCTCTTAGACTGCATCATACAGCCCTTCAGCGACTGCACAACAGCAGGGGCCATTTATTCTAATTTTTTTCAGTTGTAAAAACAGTACGTATAGAAGAGTTACCTGTAATCCACAGCAGCCCACTGCATTCATTATGGAAGCATTATGAATAACCCTGTATGGAATCCCCAGCTTTACTGCACGTAGAACTAGATCGCTGTGTGTTGTGGCCCTATAAGGAGGGAAATGCATTAGACTGAGAAGATTTCAGCAAATCTGTAGCTTGTTTTGAAAGTAAAATCAAAATGCCTCATAAATTAATGTTGTGCTGAGTGCCAAGAAGACAGCAGTAGCCAGACTGACTTTCCCACAACAATAAGTCCCAGAAAAGGGCTTCCATATTTGGTCCTTCAAGGCTGAAATTAGAGACAGCCGCAGCATTTCACTGCTCCTAGCAGCTTTCTCACAAAGTTCAAGCTACAACAGTAGCACAATTGTTGCTTTTTAAAGTAACTTTTGGCAGCCACTCTAAAAGGAAAGTTCTGTTTGCCCTTTGTCTTTTGCAGGTGGCTGCTGGACATCTGTTGAACAGCAAACTCAGTTTTACTCAGCAGAGAGAGCAACTCCAGCGAAACTCGAGTGTTCCCTTAATTACTGTGCAACCAGACTTGTTCTGACAGCCTCTGTGAACATGATGGGGGGCAACACTATACAGTGCATAGAACTTTTTACAGTCTGAAGAGTACTGTTTATTTTCCCATGTAGCAGATATGCATTCATTCACTGGACAAATATTTGGCTGGTAAAATATATTTATAAGAGAGATGTTTAAGTACCAGTCCACAGAGGCTCTGAGAAACAGCACTGGAATTTGTAAGGAACGTACAAATGAGGGATTATATTTATTCCTGAAGTAAATAGGGGAAATTGCCACTTAAACTTACCATAGGGCTGTATTTGGTGCATCAATCAAAATGGACCTGTAGTCCTCAGAGCTGGGCAAAACTCACAGCACAATTATTGAGAGTTTTGTCCAGATGTAGACCACAAGTACTTTCAGCATCAGAACTGCACTGAAATCTAATCTTGTTTGCAAATAGCACACTTGCTCATAGGGATGTGCAGCAAGTACCGTGTTTTCCATATTATATGTGAAATGCAAAAATACTCTTAAAAATCTATCAAATCTGAACAATGGCTTCAGCTGCCTCCTTTTCCCCAAGGCACCTCAGACAATACAGCTCATGCCATGGAGGTAAGCAAAGAAAGAAACAGCATCTGGCTGATCAGACTAATTAAACAGGAAGCCTGCTTTAGCCATGACCTCCTCTGTGGTTTCAGCCTAAACCTAACAGAGTTCCTTCTATCTCTAGCCAGACATTTTCCCATCCTTACTGCCCCTCTCACTTCCACTGTGTGGCATGATCAGGGGTCTCAGATACTGACTCAAATATGGCAGCTGCTGGCAGGGGTAAAAGGAATAGCTATTTTCTAAAAATCAATCTTGTTGCAGCAGATTAAGCCTAAGGGTCTGAATGTTGGGAAGTCAGGAAGTGGCCAGAAATGGGCTCCCATTCTCAGGAGTGCAGCACTAAGGTGGTCTGGACATAGAACAACCTTCTCATTAACAGCTGAACTATCCCCTCCCCTTTCTGAAGGGGATTTGAGCACATCTGCTCTGAGAGGCTGACTTGTCCTCTTCTCTTTGCATCTGAGACAAGGACTCTGTAAGACTTTGTGGGTTTACTAATGATGGATCTGGGGACCAGCTGGCTTTATTTACTGAAATCTGTTCCAGCCAGCATTTACTCCCATTGGACCTCCTCCAGAAGGACCACAGCACAGCTGCAAGTGATGTGCTTGAGGACTCTGCTAATTGTAGCAGGAGGCCTGAAGGAGCCAGGCCCTCCATGCCTTTGTCTACCACAGAGTGGTCCAGCCTATTTGGCCCCATGAGCCCCATGCAGACCATGCAGCTTCTCATGGGCTGCATGGTTCTAGAATCCAAGGGGTGAACAACACTGCTGTTCACTCCCCACCTTCTCCCACCACTGAGTTGGGTTGCCAGCAATGCCTGAAGACCCCAAATTTGGTAGCGGGCAAGGGTTGTAGGAGGGAGCAGCAGGGCATTCACTACCTGGGTTTTGGAGCCACACCAACAAGACTGTGGGCTGCAATTTAACCCCTAACAACCCTGTTTACACCAGTTGGACAGCCCAACACTACCACTTTTCCCATCACTGGTCTGCTATCAGTGCACTTTTACTGGGAGCAGCAATGAGGGGAACACTAGCATAGACTGAAGGTGGATTTTTGTTTTTTAAAGTCACCATACTGTCTGATGACAAAGCTAAAAGTCAGCAAGTCTACTCTAGTATATCTACTATTGCAATTACCGCTACAGATAGCCACCTGTTTGGGGAAAAAAAAGATTTGGATATTTTGAATGCAGCTGCCACTTGTGGAAAGGGGCTTGACTGGGGCATCCTAGTCTGCAGGGCTACAAGTCCACCTATACCCCTACTACATTTCCTTCCATCTTGGGGGCAAATAGACTTAAACTCTGAAGTCAAGTTATGGACATCCCCGGCTTCTCTTCCCATAGGGTTTTCAAAAGGACAGGCCAATCTTGCCTTCAGCCACTAGAGACCCTAGAGACCCCCTGTGGAACAGAAGTAAGTGGGATAACTAGTGAGAGGGAGAACTGAAGTAAGCCACTTCTTCAAAACACTGTTCTTTGCTGTTAGTGCTCCTAAGCTTGCACACACCAACAGTTCGAAATATATACAGGAAACCCTCGTTATTCGCAGTTTCAAATATTCGCAAATGCCAAACCCACATTTTAAATACACTTTAAACACTTACTGGAGCCCCTTGGGATCTCTCCTGCCATCACCGCTGAAGCCATGCCGCCAGGGGCACGGTGTTCATGAACACAGTGCCTTATTTGCAGATTTCGCCATTTGCGGGGGATACGAGAATGTATCCCCTGCGAATGGCGAGGGTCACCTGTAGTGTTATCCTGCTTGTAAGCTGGTCAATTTATGTCATAGTTATTATGAGTTTTATATATATTGCAGAAAATCAATCCATATTTCCTTCAGATAGTTTTAATTAGCAGCAACATTTGATATTTCAATAACAAAAAATGTAGACTACCTAATTTCTACATATTCCTTGTTTTTTGCAAAGCTTGCCTGCCCATCCCAAGTGATTTAGCAATGATTTAGAAGACTAAATTAAAAGGGATTCTCTACATCTTCCCATACTATATATTTCTACACTGCTGCTTAAAGTTAAGCAGTCAAATCTATACTAAGTGCTAAGGCATCTAAATAAGTGCTTTTCAGAAGTATACCAAGGAACTTTAGAGTTTAAAACTTGTGACCATGTGATATATGCAATGCCCTAGAACAGGGGTGTCAAACTCACTTGGTCCTGTGGGCCAGATTTGGACAGCAGGGAGCCTCACAAACCCATCTCTAGCAGTGGAGCAAGTAGTGCTTTGCTGACTCAAAGAGTTGTGGGGATTCATTCAGCTATCACTTGCCACACCACTGTCAAAATGTGTCCCTAGCAGGGCTCCATACCTTGAAATTTGTCAGTGGGCCCCAACTCCAAATTTCTAGGTCCTCCATAAGCCTTGTGAGCCAAATGACACAGCTCTGTGGGCCAGAGCTGGCTTTCAGGCTATATCTCTGAAACCTTTGCTATACAATACAAATATGATTTCTTCAGCTAAATTCTAAGGTCCCAATCCTACAATATGATCCTCATGATAGACACTTAAGTCAATGGGGCTCTAGTATAGGTACTAGGGTCTGTACACATGACTCTGGCTACAGACCCAGAAGCTAAAAGCGTCCATATTCAGATAATATGCAGTAGTTTGGAAGGTAGAATTCCAAGGCATATTCCTAAGCTATAATGAATAAAACCTGAAGTTTTTGTCATTGAAAACATTATTATGGAATTTGAGGAAGCAGGTTAAGATATCTATTTGCAAGCTCCAACTACATTTTGATGCTGTTATTCTACGGTTTATAGGCTTAAGAAGATACAAGTACTGCACCTAATTTGAAGCCTAATTTTAATATTAATTATATTTTCAGTATGTATTGACATTTCTGAATAGGCAGCATCATCTGTAGCTAAGTACTAGTTTAAAAAAAATGGCTTGATGTTTCCCTTGGAGCCATATTTACATAAATTAGCCTATTTAGACAGGCATGCACATATTACTCCTCTCTTTTATAAAAAAAAACACCCCACAAATGGTGTGCTCATTGATTTAATTTTCCTTGTGTCCCTTGATGCTGTAATATAAATCTTGGATCACCAGCTGGAGACAAAGAGTTGTTCTGTATAGTTTGACATTACAAATTGATGATGCTTGACTGAAAAGGGAGAAGGACATCCTTCTGGTGATAGAAAAAGACTATAGCTACCAGTGGGAATAAGTAACGGAAATAAGAGGCTTAATAAACCAAACTAATAAGACATTTTTAATGACCCAGATGTCCTTAAAGACTATAATAGATAAAACCAAAAGCATCTGCAACCAACAAGCAGCATTCAATTAGAAAGTAACTGCATATATGCACAGTATATAAATACAAATGGTAATTAAAACACACTCTCTCTTACAATGTATGATACATTTCTTGACTATGTAATAGCCTAGAATTTCTTCAGTTAGCAGACAATCTGACACTGAATAAGTTTCAGAAGGACAGCTTGGAGAACGATAAGCAATTTTACAAATGCTGCAGGACTACTGAAAGGGTGATTTATGGGCATGTGGATCTGTATTCTTATCTTATGAGGATGTTTTGCAAGCTGCTTGGGGGAGAGAACTGCAAAGCAAGACTAATAATGACGTGAACAATTTTAATTTATTTTAATGAAACAGAGATGTAGCCAGTTACGCAAGTAACTGAACACCAGATACTTTTACTGTTTCTGAAAATGGTCAGTTTCTTCACCACAGTGAAGAAATTACAGCTATGCAAAAGTGAGCTCCCATTTATTCAGGAAGGGTAGCAGCCAAATGCCAAAGCCAAAGCAATAAATAAAATGTTGCCTCATCTTACCCAAATGGATCACCAACTACAAGAAAAGCAACATCAAATAGATCAGCATCTTTTAAAATGTTATCAGCCTCTTGCTCCACTGTTTCTCGGTCTGCCAGAATCAATTCCCTTCCATAAAACTCCTCCTAAAGATTGAAATAAAAAAACAAAATTAGACAGTTTCATTTGTTTCAGCCTCTGTCTACTGATGATCACAATACTGGCATCCAACCAAACAGACATCAGACATTAGCTGAAACTGCCATGACCTAATTCTTGATATCATGTTATAATTAACCTTTCTTTAAACCATTTTAATTAGTATCCTCTGAGGAAGCATTTCAGAATCACACTCCCTCTCTGACTTTCCATGATGCAGACCTTATTGTGCATACAGATAACATTTGTAGTCAAATGTATTTGGGTAAATGTGATATCTTTTATTAAACCAACGAAATAATTGGAATATTTGTTCTTTGCAAGCTTTTGGACACAAACACTCTTGTTCAGGCATGGGGAGAAGGATGCCTGTCCTGAAAGCTTGCAAAGAACAATTTTCCAACTATTTAGTTGGTCTAATAAAAGATATCACATTTACCCAAAGAACCTTGCCTGCCTATGTCCTTACACCAACACAGTTACAACCAGCACCCCCAATAACGTTTGTAGCATCTGATCCTTCCACTACTTACCTTTCAACATATGCATAATTCCATGGAAGTCAATGGGCCTATTCATGTAGATTAAATTAAGCACTGTGTGTGTGTACTTGCAAGATCATGGCTTCACATCAGAGGGCGGAAACAGCTGTAGCAGCTTACTTGTAGATATCTTACATATCTGTATGCCCTCATAATTTAAGTTTCATCATATGCTCTAAGCACTTTTATTATATTAGACAACAAGCTACTTTGGGGCAGGGCAATTTGGGTACTTTTGCTCCACAAGCCACCTAGCATATTTGGGACCTATATAAATAACCATACCTATTCAGCCAACCAAGACTAGGAAAATCTTGCTTAGCAGAAGTTGTGACATCAATTGCAACTCTGCTTCCTTCCAAAGATGAACACTGGGTAGACACGAGGACTACCTTAATAATAATCACATAGAGTAGCAGCAAGAGCTTTCACAAGGAGAGCTAAACTTGTGGTAAAAGTAGTAGCCTACCACTTGGAAAACCTGGGTTCAATTCCCTTCTCTGCCAGAAATTTCCTCTATGACTGGGTGAGCCAATGGCTGTCTCTCTTTAAGACTATTTGTCATCTGTTATATGAAAATAGCACTTTCTCAAAACATAAGAATGGTGAGGTGCCCACAGTACATAAAGAGATGGGCATTCAAGCAAAGAAGCAAGGTATATTGAAATGCTAATTTTGAACTCTGTAATAGTAAGAGGTCTAAAGAGTTTTGTCAAGAGCTGGAAAGTCTTGTTGGACTCGACTATCCCACATGTTTTCTTCATGTCACATTAAAGGCATTGACCAATGAACAGTTACTAATTGAAACAGTTATTTTAACAAATTAAAGGCCAACCTAGGCATTGGCAATGCGAAGAAGCGAAAAGGGATCTTGGAGTCATAGAGGACTCCAAGATGAACATGAGTCGTCAGCGTGATGAAATCATCAGCAAAGCTAACCGCACTTTATTATGCATCAGCAGTTGCATGACAAATAGAACCAAGGAGGTGATACTTCTCCTCTATGCAGAATTGGTCAGACTGCAGTTGGAGTACTGCGTCCAGTTTTGGGCACTTCAAGAAGGATGTTGATAGACTCGAGAGGGTCCAGAGGAGAGCCACTCATATGGCTAGGGGCTTACAGGACAAGCCCTATGAGGAGACACTGAGCGACCTGGACCTCTTCAGCCTCCACAAGAGAAGGCTGAAAGGTGATCTTGTGGCCACCTACAAATTCATTAAGGGGGCGCAGCAAGGGACCAGAGATGCTCTGTTCACCAGGGCGCCTCTTGGAGTAACAAGGAACAATGGTCACAAACTGACGGACAGCAGATTTAGGCTAGATATCAGGAAAAAACTTCTTCATGGTAAGGGCAGCCAAAATTTGGAATTGGCTTGCAAGGGGGGGGGGGGCTCTCCCCTACCTTGGGGGTGTTTAAGAGAAAGCT